GCGGTTCTTACAGCTGACGATGATGATGATGCTAACTTTACGTCTGGTCGGCAAGCACAGACCCCCTTTCAGTTTCCGAATCGCCAATTCGCCTATCAGCCTCGAAATGCATTAGACGGCAGGGTCAGATGAGCTTCTACCACCGTTATCAAGAGATAATGGTAGTCTTTGTGTTATACCTTCACCATATGGGAAGGATGCGTTCCACAAAGCTGGGGTCGATTACTTAGTGTAGCTCTATTCAAAACCTATCCCTAAAGCAGCTGTTCCAAATATGTGGATATAAGTTGCAACATGGTTATTAATTGGATACTAATGCAAAGGTTAACCTCATCATATGAAACAGATCTGGAGGATAGAACAAATTTTGCCAACCAGAGGATACATCTTCACATTAAGTCAAGAGCACGAGCACAGCTATGCACATCGCCGGCAAACAATCGCGGTTGATCTTGACTGAAAAGGCACTTGTGAATCCGGCGACATATATGCCGTCCTATAGATATTGGAGAAGGGGAGACAGCCGTTAACCTTGCAAACATCCTCAACGTTCTTCAGTTCCGTACTACCGATACCATTAAGGTTTGTAGAAAACTACCCAGTGGTGTAGTAAACTACACAAGTGAGGTACGTCAGAAATGTCCTTTCTTCTTCATCACAATTGAATGAAGGGACCATATTTCTACATATCGCAACCGTTTTGCAAAAAGGCCTGTCAACTTGGAGCAGCTAAGTCATATTGTCGTGTACTTGGGAAATCATGCATACACAAGTCAACTCGCACTGGGCTGTCAGATATGGTCAAATGCTTCGAAATGTTTTTTGCGGCTTCAAGATAGAAAATTCCGCTTCAGAATTTACAACAAGCACGTACGAACTTGAGATTTTAGACTTATAAACTTAATTACGTTGATCGCTTCACTTCTCTTGGCAGCTGCATAAGCCCTGACTGTACAGTCAGAAGCACAGCACACATAATCAAGACACGTGCGGTATTCACCAAGCTGCACCATTCTTGGAGTCAACTGCGCACGGCATGCACAGTGTTAGTTGGGCGAAGCCTGTTGTAATGAGGTGGTCCCTCAGTTCGGGTCAGGTGATCAGCTATGACAATATACTAGGGGGAGCATGGCTACAGCTAATACCGTCTCGGTAACCGAGATATAAGAATTCGGTGAAATATGGTACGGCGGATGACAGGAACGATCATTAAAGTTTGTCTCTACTCCACTAATCCAGTAGTTATATTGTGCTCTTGGTTTCAAGTGTGACTTGTCGAGTGATCCTCCCTCTCATACAATTAATATTTATTTAATCGATTTTGGAACTGGCCCCTTTCTGGACACTGAGACTGTGAATTAGTGAATTAGTGAATTAAAGTACTCAGCCGTGAGCCCTGAACTCAATGGTCTGAATGGCAAAACGGGGCGAACGACCCAAACGTCAAATCCAACTAGCTAACCTATGGAGAGGGTATAGAAAGTAAGACGTGTCTCACTTCCAATGCCGCAAAGCCATATGTCGGGTAGAGACGACCCACAAGTGCTCATTCCATGACAGTCTACCAGGCGGTGTTGGTAGCTGCTGTATCCAAGGCTGGAGGCCTCAGGGTAAAGCAGAACAATAGTCAGTGGCCGTACCAGGTGTGGGACTGCTGAGCAGCCAGTGGCGGTTCTGAATAACTATTGCCACCAATATGTACGTCTCACTCCCTGCCTTATCAAAAAAGAGAACAACTCAAAGTCGGTGAATTGATTGGGCCACCGTCCACAACGCGTGATTGTTGTTCCCTGGCTCTTCTCATACCTGGTGAACAAAACCGTAGCAGCTGGAACAAATACACATTGGTACACGGTTCATAACTGAGTAATTGGCTGACTAACTATTGGGCGTCAGCTTCGCTGGCAAGTTATCATCACCATCATCATCACCATCATCGACAGCATGACATCAGTGACCAACACTGATGCTTCACTGTCATACAACCGTGATTTGTTGGAAAGCCTTATCATGAAGAAAAGAATAAAGGTGGATAGGGAAGGGACTTAGTGCTGCCTTCCTACAATCATTCCGAGGTGCCTACACCTCCAGACATTCACTCAGGCAATCTAGATAGAAACTGACAAGAGCGCCACTGACATCGGTTGGTAACCATATCTTGTAGTGTCTCCAACCAGGCACAGTGAGGATCACGCAGTCCCCATCCTGGAAGGCGAGTAGCACCGACAGCACCCAAACGTTTCGTAATCTCCATCATACCCTTCTGCCAAGTCAAGGGTTGGCCACCTCTCTGCCTCCGCCACTCTGAATTTGGCATGGAAAACAGCACTCTTTTCGGCAAATGATGGTTCGGCATACGCAACACATGTCCCAACCAACGCAACTTCTGGTGCTGGACACATTCTTCAATGGAAGTACCCGTTGCACAACCGAAAACGCCCTTCTAACTGCCGCGTTACGGATTCGCCGACACCAATCCACACGGCCTATGGTCCTGAGACAACGATTGTCGAACACCTGAAGACGTCTCAGTTCCGCTGCTCGAACAGGCCAAGTCTCACAGCTATACAACCAAACAGCCCGCACTGTAGCTTGATACACACATCCCTTCAGATTCAGGGATAAACCATTCTGACACCATAGGTGTCTCAAGTTAGCAAACGAATCGACCTCATCGGTCACAGTACAATCAAAACTAATAAAACCTCCAATATACATAAAACGTTCCACAACTTCCAGTGCCTCTCCCTGGATTGTAAGTGGCGCGTTTGGTAACCGCACGTCCACGAGCACGACCTTACACTTTTTGGATGCAAAGTGCACACCAAAGGACGGGATGACTTTGGTCAGTTCATCCAAGAATACTTGCACCTTCTCCTCCTCTTTGAAGATGAGAACGATGTCGTCTGCGTACTCCAGATCGACAAGGTCTTCTTCACAGACTATTTGAACACCAGGGTTTTTGGAGACCTTCCGGCGTTCGTCTCATTATCTCATCGATCACGAAGTTAGAAAATAATGGAGAGAGTGGGTATCCCTGACGAACACTGCTTTATGTACGAAGAGCAAGTCGGAAATTCACAAAATCACCGTATACATTTTACTCGACATCAGAAAGCAGCGATCAAACAAAACATGGACACCTTATTTGCCCGTCAAAAAATTGGAGTATCCGTCGTGACTGAACACTGTTACGAACCATCAGCCGGTATAACATGAACCTGCACTCAAACACCTTTACGTCATACTGCTGAAGAAAAGTCTGTCTATCTGGTTCTCCAGCGCCAAATCGTAGGCCCGTGAAAACAAACGGGCCACCGCTCACTCATAGTCTGTTAAGGTCACAAGTCTCTGGGTCGAGATGGCCCAAGTGGTTAGAGCGCGAATTTACTGACCGGAAGGTCCGTGATTCGAACTCGACCTCTGCCTCTGCCTCTGCCTCTCGACTCCCCTGTCTAGGCTTGGGCAACCTGGCAGTATCCCAGCCCTCGTGCAACCTTCAGGTGGCATGGCAGTTAGGCACCGAAAGGGTGCTACAGCTGAACGGTTTCACAAGTCTCTGACAGCCAGACAGTTAAGGAGCAAACAGTCTAATGCGGGAAAATAGGCTGAGAAGATTCCTCACCTTTCCAAAGAACTTCCGGATCCCATTCTTTATCAAGCAGAGACTTTGTGTAAGCATTGAGATCCGGAAACTAAATGTATTAAAAAAACAAGGATGAGGGTTAGTACCGGTAACTACTCACACAGATGAGCATGATTTTTATCCAAACACTCTTGGCTTCCGCTGAGGATTGAATTCGATTATTTACAAGTTATCACTTCCATCCTGGACTCTTTTAGAAGCCCATTACCCCGTAGATTCCAGGGGGATTTTCCAGTGAGAACTGGGTCACAAAAACTAAAAAAAAGCTAACCTAACGACTATTAAGGGTTTTGTGAATCACGGCACAGAGTTTTCTGAGTGAATAGACTAAAATCTCTTCAGAGCGGTCATATCCATTTCTAGGGTGGTCCCACAGCATCGTCCGGCTGAACTGCTCGCTGACAAGCAAACAAGTACATTCCAAAAAATACATAAGGAATATACATCACATTCATCCTACTAGAGAAAAAGGAACATAATGGTGATGGTTGAGACCGGTTCCCAATTCAGTGGCACTTACACCCAAGAAACATGGTTAGAAACCCTTTTGCGTATCTGAATCTACCAGATAGGACAACACTATCGATCACACTATGCGATCGCTTAAAAAGGCCAGTTCAGAGACATTGTACGATAACGTTCACCAAAAGATCAGGTCATCAGCCGCTGGTTGGTACGCGGAGTAGATTGAACACATGGTTCACCATTTTAGGTGATCGTTTCGGTGCAGACCCGATGCCATCTTAACATGCCAGATAATATGGAATATGAAACGCGGTTCTAGTGCACGCACGGTCAACCATTCCGGATGACTGTAAGCTGTGTGCGCTGTCTAGTACCATTATTTCAGCCATACCAGCCAATCAACAAACGTATACGCCGTAGAATCGTTCCGTAACAATCCAATCAAAGACCCTAAACTGGCTCGAATATACTGAAAGTTTGACCGACGGTGTTGTTGAACTGAGTAGACAGCCAGTAAGTCAGCCTAGTTAACGTCATGCGCAGCCAACTACAGTCACGCGCTGTACATTGAATCTCAAAGATCACTGTCCGTCTTTTTCTCCCCATCCATATGGATAGCAAAAATACCAGGACGGGGATCGTTGAGCGGGAAGTTAGTTGAAGGTTGTGGGTATGCAGGAGTGCCACGCACATGATACCTGGATGGAGTTTCTACACATCCGGGCGGAGCCCATTGGCCGCACAATGCCCTTAACTGCAAAACTTTCGAGAAATGAAACTTTTTGCGCCAGAATGTTGCATTTTGTTGTGTATGTGCTCAAACCAAAAATCATCCTAATCTACGTTCACATTTTTGCAGCTCACCAAACTTTATTGTCCACTGAAACAATTATACCCCTGGCAGAAGTCTGGTGGAATACTTTCTTAGCATCGCTGCGACCCCGGGATACCTAGATAGGGCTCAAAAGTTTGGAACGTACTCTGAATTTAATTGCCTATCTCTTTTAGTCCATCAGGGACACGTTGTAGCTTTCGAAAATTAAATTCCATTGTGCGAATCCTGAGCGCCCATCTGGGCCTACATCGTGTTGTCTGCACGACTGTCGCGCGTGAATTGGAACTGTGTGCTTCTTGTGGCAAAAAAAGTAAAAATAAGCGGTATAACGATACAGTGCACATTCATCTGGGCCAAGACGATCAACTGTAATGCGTGTTGGACCTGTCGCGGCGTACACCAAGACAAGACGGAAATAGGGCTTCAGTGGAGCAGCCCGTAACGTACGTAGCCGAATAGCTGCTGCGATTTTCGCACGGACGTGCACCAAACTCCGTGGGTTAAAAAGACAGCCCGCGTATATTCATTTTGGCGAATGGCTAGACAGAACCACCGCTTATCATATGGTTCAGATTTTTCATAGGAAGTTCAGGTTTTGCTTAAAATAATCGCAAAACAAATCGCACACAGATACTGCTAAACCTGAAGGAAGCGCGCGGGTATAGTACAACAACCTTTCAGTCCGGATCAACTGGTCCAACAAAGGAGCCAACTTTTATTTACTTTTGAGGCGACTCGTATGAGGATGAATGATGAAGCTCACATGCTGTTGGGTGGCGAAAATGCTCACAGCGAAAGGAAATTTAGGAATACTGATGCGATTACTACGGTAGCAACAAAGACGGTGGGAAAGAATCCGGATGTAATCCATAACTCAAAGTAAGGAAAACAAAAGGGGCGAAAAATAAGTCTGGAGACAAAACGACAGACCACCTGATCCGTTAGAGAATTCATGGCGAAGCAGCTTGGAGTGGAAATCAAGTTCTCAGATGGTGATGCGTGAACGGGGATCAATAAACTCTGTGATCTATGTCGAGAATGGAACAGTTTCACTGGCGATTTAATCCAATTGCAAACCGACAGAAACCAATTATGAGATATGGATGGCGATTTTGTGAGTTCATCAAAATAGGTCGAGATCGCAATTATGTCACATCATATTCGGTAAGTAGGTAGTGACTTCCGAAGTAGTATTTATCGAAGAACGCTAAACATGGAACACAAGGAATGCACAAATCGAAGTACCTAGGAACGTTTGTGACAACCGAAGGGTGGTACCAAACGCGAGACCTTTGCTTACCCAGGTGTGCTCTTCTTCAAGCGATGTATCCGAGAACTGTCGTAATCTATTCAGACAGTCGAGGTATACGGTCGCAGTACGATACACCAGTCTTGCGTGCAGATAGGCTGCTGTGGCATGAGGTAATCCTGCAGGAGACATTCGGAGAATCCATTCCAGGACGACGCGGACATCCTTAGTAAAAGATCGGTAGTCTGCAGTAAGAGAAGTTAATATAGGTTTATACATTCGGGCTAATTTGAGGTTTAAGAACCACGAGCAAAGGTCCTATATTACTTAGTGTTCATTTGGAACCTACGATTTCAGTTTTAGTCTATTTCCGCTTGCTGTGTTTAGTATCTGATGCCCCAAACGGGTTCCGAGGCTGAACGATATTCCGTAACACGATCAGAGGAGCTCCCTCTCTATGTTGAAGCACGAGCGAGGGGTAGCAAAATTTGAGTTGCGACTCAATGGGTTCAACACAAGTAAAAAAAACAGGTGTACACAGGTCCAACTTTGTAATATCGTGCATGAGTAGCTCATGGGTGACACTCAATCCCTAAGCCGCATTGGTCGACAAGGCGGCGGACAATTTGTGCACGAGTACTGATGGAAGGATTGGTCGAGATTCGCACATAGCCTGGAAACAGTAGTACCACCGTCACAGAGACTTGACCATAAGGTGATGTGACGTATGTGGGCCTCCGTGATCCATTTATCATCATCATCGACAGCATGAGATCAGTCTTCAACACTGATGCTGCGCTGTTACACAACCATGATTTATGTGAAAGCCTTATAGTGAGGAAACTAATGAAAGTGGACGGGGAGGGGACTAGTTCACCACAATTATTCCGAGGTACCTACACTTCCAGACACAGTCGGCAAGCCGGATACATACTGACAAGAGAGCCAAAGACACCGATTGGCAGTTATATCTTGCAGCGTCTCTAACCGGGCATAGTGTGAACCGCGCTGTCCCCAACAGAGAAGGCGAGCCGAGTCCGCAACACCCAAACTTTCGCCAATCTCTTTCATACACCCCTATTAGGTACCGGTGGTGAAAGTTGATCAGTGACTGCCGCTCCTTCTAGAATACTTGCGTGGACTCCGACCATGCACTTGCCCGCTGCCGCTTTCAATGGCGCCCTTCAGGTCTACACAAAACGCGTACATTCCGCTAAGCCGCTGAGGCTAGTGGACCCAGAGACCAAACTAAACCATCATAACCTGCCCCTCGAACGCCTGCCGGGCGGTCCGATGTCGGATATAAACGGTCGCCTGGAACAAATATATCTAAAGTGCACGCAAAGCCGAAACCTTTTGCAACACAACCTTGCCAATCTCATCTAAAAGTTGGACATCTCAAAGGACCGTGCCTTTGCTGGAGGCACGGCGACAGATTCTCTCTGGCCGCAATCACACCTCAACTCGACGCATCATCCGACTGAATGTCCGTGCAAACTAAGAAGCTTGGTGGTCCCGAAAGACCAAGGAAATGGAAGACCAAAAAACGCTGGAAACGTCTGCAGGATGTTCCACTTGATTGTCTGATGGCCCTCGGAAACCTATTATCAGCGAAATAATCAGGGACCATCAAGCAGAAAGTTTGCACCCAACGACAATTCACGTAGGTCACCTGCTACCTCCAACCCGGACCGCTGGCCTTCAACATGTAGGTGCACTGTGAATAGGGAGCCACCTTTAGCCTCAGAAATGTCCAAGTGTATGTCACTACTCAAGCGCCAGCGTGCTCCTCGCCCTGATGATCTTCCACCTACTGTGTTCAAGTATTGTGGTGAATTCATCAGTCAGTGCCTGCCTAGCCTATTTGGGTCTATCTGGGAGAAAGAGACAATCCCAACCAACTGGGATGAGTTGATCATACGACACACTTTTAAACGGTTACTCGCAGTGAAGATAGTAACCATGGGGGTGTTTGACTCCCACTGTAACAAGGCCTCTGGAGTCAGCTTACGGCGGCATGCGACACTATGACCCAAGAGCACTAAGAGGGATTGGGGCCGATTAGAAGATGCGTCCACCACATTCTTACACTCCGTCAGGTGGTAGAGCAAAGCCATATGTACAGGCAACGTTGGTGTTCCTTAGTTTCAAGGGTGCGTTCAACTCTGTCGATCGGTCAGTGCTGTTGACCACAACCGTTGAGCAGGGTGTCACAGAACATAATTCGGTCCCTCTATTCACGTACATCTGGGAGTAAGTGGTGAGCCTTCCAAAAGATTCCTTACAAAATTGATACCCGAAAAGGATGTTCATTATTTTCAATCTTCTTCACGTTGATCACTGATGAAATAATGATGCGAACGCTTAAAAGTTTTCAAAACCCCAATTTTCAGATCGTTGCTGGTGAGAACCTTGACGATCTGGAGTACGCAGATGTCATCTCCACATTTCAACATCATTCACACTTCAAGACGAAAAACAAGCATAAGGACTGTTGAACAAACTGATCACCATCATACCATCTTTCAGTATGTTCCTTGCACCCTCAAAGTGCAGTCATGTTTCAGAGCGTTCAGTCTCTGGACATACCCTTTACAATCTAAGAATCACTGGAGGCTGTGAAGAATTTTGCTTACCCCGGTAGTTGTATTAGCTCTGATGGTGTGTCGGGTGAATCCAGTACATAAAACTCAAATGCTAGAGTCACGTTTGCTAACTTGCAACAATTGTGGCGTCAAGGAGGTATATCGTTGAATCTTAAGAGTCGCGTGTATGAAGTGTTGTTGTATGGTTGCCAGAAATGGTATCTGCGGACAAATGACGTGAGGCATCTTCAGGTTTCCGACCACCCATGTCTCAGAAACGTTGGAGATGTTGGATGGCGCCAGCAGATTAGTGTCGAAGTAATAAAATAAAATAAAATAAATAAATTAACTTAAATAATAAAATAATAAATAAATAAATAAAATGGACTTGGTTGCGCAATAGGTACTTCAATCGCCAAAAACAACCAGTACAATCAACTGCAGTGACTCGGCCATGTTCAACGCAGTACGAACTTCGGATATCTATAAGGCGGGCGAACATGGGGTGGACCATCAACAAAAGTAAACTGATCGCCAACAGAAAAGTTCAGATTCTTAATATAGGAAGTGGTGTATTAGCAAAGGAGTGACAGAAGACTCACCTGAAACCGGACACCTAGCCGAGTCCGTCCCTTTTGCAGCTGATTCATCCGACAAGTTTTCGAACAAGTCTTGCTTGTTAGGACAGTCGTCAACAGCCACTGAACCTGTTACATGCGTCTCACGAGAAGCACACGCGTGTGCTAACTGGCGAAAGTTGTCTGCGGCGCACTCGCTGTACTCAGTGGTGGTATGAGAAGGTTGTGGAATTGCTAGACTGTTTGGATTGTGGATGCCCGTCAGTAGGATGCACAAAATTTGAAGGCAATCACAAATGATATTTGAAATAAGCGCACCAGTACCCGAAAACAAGTCAACACACGGTTGGAATGTGTCGGGTTTCGAAGATATTTCTTTGCCCCGAGATGCTTGGTGCATAGTTGACATTGGATCACCCTCCCCGGAAGAACGGGAGGATTGAAGATCATCGCTAGGTCCACTTTCATCGTCTGGCACGAATTAGCAAAAAAGAAATATTGTGAAACAGACTACTAAATTCCAAGAACAGCTTAACAGTTCGGCTGCGGTTAGCTGTTGCATCTATTCGCTCACGAGCTCACTTTTGCTGGGAGAACCTAATACTCATGAAACCCGGGGTCAAAGCTCAAAACCCACTGCGAAAGTTGCAAGGCCGGAGCCCTCATATGTTTGATGCTCCAATCGATTACAGAATGGAGTGCGTAAATTGATATTTACTGGTTGCTCTAGACTTGAAGCACTTCGCGTTATACTTACTTTCGCATGAAATGTGGTCCAATCCGGAGATTGCAATGTACCCACCGGAAATCAACACAGGCAATAACCGAATCAAGTAGGTAACCACCCAACGAATTTGAAGAGGCGGGTTGAAAAGGCGATAAATCGGATAGTGGCTATGCTCCATTTAACAAAGCCATAGTTACGAACATTGAGTGAAGTGTCAAGACTACATCGTTGATAGATTGGAAGAAGTTGAGAAAACCTGAAAGAAGCCTAATTCTGTGTTTGAAAAGACAGTAAAATTGAAACCACTAACTAGGTTTTCATAATCAGGGTTAATAGGGTGGTAACCTGTGGTCACACGTGTACAAACAAAACCATTTAGACATTGGTCCTCAGTTCGTGTTAAATCTCGACCAACCTCATAACCTAGTCACTTGCCCTGGTGGAGCTTTTGTGTCAAAAGCAGAACGCTGTTCAGCAAATAACTCCAGTGATTGTTATACGAACTTTTCCGGAAACAAATCGTATTGTATTCCATCCTTGCCATCACTTCTGCGTAACCGAGGACCGATTCGCAATATATCCTGTCTTTCAAACTCATTAGATACGTCGGCGTCTCTCCGAAAAGGCACCGTGCACACGCTTGTGTAATGGACTCATACGACCAATATAAACATTAGCACAGTGGCTGAAGACCCAGCAAATGTTCACCTCATTAAACAGCTCTGGTGGCCTTCCGCCTTTCAGTTATCTTGTACAAATTTGGTCCTGTCGAAAGGCAAACATCATATGGAATCGCCACCCTCATAATAGGCTACTCTTCTGCCTGTTGTTTCATAACTACATCGACATTTTCATGAGAAGTGGATGTATAGAATGAATCGGTATCTATCAATAAATGCACTATATAGGCACCCAGTGAGCTAATATCCGTTGCAGGACTTTCCTCTGACAATCAAATGTATTATACGGACCACTAGTACATGACAGATTCACTCAAAGCGGGTGGAGCATCGGCTGACTGGAGTCCCAGATAAAAATGCGTAAACCTATGGCTGAACCATTTGGGCTAAGAGCTATACTCGGGAAATCCCAAGTATCAGCCGAAGTGCTCGGGTAATTCTGGAGGATAAAGCCACTCGGTTACGTAGTACTACTGATAAACTATTCACAAAGTATTGTGAGTGTAAAAATGGCGTTTACATACGAATCTTTTCATTGGTTCCGGATACATTCATACCTAATAGGACCGAGGTTATCCGTGCAGAAAACTCTTCCAAGGCGAGAGCGACCTTCGCCCGTCTCTCCTTAACCGAAAATCAATGTGGAGCTGCGAAACATGAATAAAAAATCAACCTTTGTTCATATGAAAGCAGAGATAAGTAAGGGTAAGGTTAAAGGTAGCGTTTTCTGGAATTTCGCCGTGAGTTTACTCTGATATCTTAAAGTAACTGCAACAAAAAATTCACCAAAAGCGTTGCAAAGCAGCCACCTGTAAATCAATAAGTAAAAACGAAGTTGACCCAAAGAGGCGATTAACGCCCGTAAACAATACGTGTCTGTGTAACGAAAGGCTAGAAATAAGTGAATCTGTCTTGCGTAAAACTGATCCCACTACTCATTACCTATCGTTTTACAAACACCGAGTGTTCACACACCTGCCCGACAAACGTGATGAACAACAAGGGTGAAACATCTGCACCATGCACCGTGATATAACCCGGCTACGCGTCGTTCAGAGAAATCCAAGCCTAATCATGGAGAATCTCTCAAAACTACAGACGTTGGACTCATTTGACGATAGACGCCCTGATATCTGAAACTTCACGTATTGAACCTGAAATGTTATTTTGTGAAAGATGTTATCATTAGGTTTTTAACAAATACTGAAGAAATATTCCACTAAACCCAACAGCATTTCCTATGTTTGCAGACACTAACAATGCCTTAGACAACTAGGTACAGTTTATTGTCTCGGTTTTCTAGCAGCCAATGATTAAACTTGGTATAATAAACCCTGAGAACGTCACAGTAAGTGGACATCGAACAAGATCGGTGCAGTCGATTGGGAGAACGCCGATGAAGCATAAACAACGAGTCCACTTACCTGTGACAAGACGACATGCAAACTGTGGAAGTCAGGAGAAGGACCGATAAAATATTCAAGGAAAGACGTGAAAAATCCTAGCATGACAAAATAAGGCCACTAGAAGAAAATATGCGTTTTGCCTGATTTATTCTACCACCTCAGTCACAACCAAAAATCATCGATGATTTGAACTGTTACACGAATTAGGATCCAGGGTTCAGACATACAGGCATAATTATTCTCCCTGTTTATGGAGCGAACCTTTTAACAGTGACGCCCTTTTCATGCAGAAGTATACGAAGAGAGAAAATAACGCTGTTGGGCCAACAAATAATACACGGTAAACTGTCTCGCACTTCTGGAGAAAAACTGAAGTTGGGTTTTAATGGGAGACTCAACTAAATCCCAGGTAAATCCCTCCTTCGTGATGATCTTCAACTGAATGTGCTGCATAAAGAGAGCCCAATGTTCCAGTTGGTACGATATTTCAGACACTGCAGCATATTTTCTTGAAGAGACCTACCTTCCACTACCTTCCACCAGCCAACAACCAACGGTTTTACCCTTCTTGGAGTGAGTGAGTGTGTGTCGCAAATTTCTTACAATTTAGGTTCACGCAAACCCGGGGACTGTGCCTACCTGATGGGCCCCAAAAAGTATGAAACTTGTCGCGGATTGTCGAAGAGTTTTCAGAGAGTTTCGAGCTGAGTTCAGGAACTAATTGCAGTTGATGACATGCAGGACCGCATCGTAGGAAGAAAAGTAGATGGCACGGCAGATGTCGCCGTAAACACCGTCAGTAGATATGATTTGAACTTTCAGAGATATGCTCAAATGACAAAAAGCTATGAACCCAAAGACAAAAAACATGGCTATAAAATGGCATCTACACTGGAGCAATCTAGGAAACCAATGTCGAAAACGGTACAGAAAAAGACTCATCTTAACACCAGAGGGGCATTAAATTCATGCGTCTTAAAAGCCCAAGCTCGTACTGAAGACGAACTTATTGAAGGTATCAACCTATTTCATGCTACACAGAAAAAGGAATAGTATTCCCTTTACTGAGAAAACACCAGAAAATATACCACGATGTGCCCTAAGGGGGGATTTTTTCACATCGAAGAAATTGGTGGTAGGAGCCGTTTCACACACTGTCCCTTGGGAAGAAAAATCAATTTTAGTGGTAGCCAGGTAATTTGCACTTTTTTCAAATAGGTGATAACATGCTCCGTTTCACTGCCATTTCCAACCCTGTTACTCATCCGTCAATTCGACCCATTAGTACCACATGCAGGAACCGTGTAGCGGTTGTCAGTCTTCTCATATGTGGCACCTAATTCAAAAAAAAACAACCACTACAACTTGTTGTGAAGGCTCAGTTCTATATAGCACTAAGAACAGAGATGGTCTTCGAAACTCGACAGATACCGAGTTGCTGTTTGCTGCTCAATCCCATAACGTTAGTTATGGCATGTTAACGTGAGCGTTTGGATAGTAGTATTCCAAAAGCAATGTTGCTGCGCACGCTCGTCCTGAGCTAACTTATCGGCCAGTAAGTTCCAGTCCAGCTGACAAACGGTCCTCTGATATGACAGTAGAATGCATCAGGGGTGCTGGTGATATCAACGTTCTATTTTGTTCCGTTCCGTTTTTCAACCTTGGATCCTGTACACAAACACGCGGTTTCCTGTACTGGTATATGGGCGAAGGTCTCCGAACACCAGCTAAGCGAGTCCTTAGCTCCTTACATCGCAAGGTATTACGTGACTAACACTTATCCTGGCTGTCTGCAGCTTCCTTCCATTCTAATGCCAATAGGGCAAATCAGACAGGAGGTATGTGTAACACATGACCAAGGTAGCGCGACTGAAAAAAACGCAGCAAAATGTCCACCGAAAGATCCACAACGGCTTGCAAAATAACACGATGTATCTCAGCATTAGAAGTACGGTGTTCCCACCAAGACTGTACCATCTTGGGTCCTCATCATTATCACCATCAGTACGGATACCAACACACCGGTAGTGGAAACTGGTACTTAACTGTCATGCAGGAAGAAGCCTCTGTAAAGGTAGAGTGATGTGGGGAAGTATTGCAAAAAGCCCTATGTCCCCAGAGAGAACGGTCAAGAGCAAGGTGTGTACGCACGGCGAAACCACTGTACTAAACATATCTGAGTAACGTGCTGAATCGATAAGTTAACACCTGCATCGGTCTTCGCAAAGCTCATCGGACACAGGCCCAACACACTACAGACAAGCGTTACCTAAGCAGTCCACCTAAGAGGTCGCAACAAGCTCACCACTAGCATCGGTTACGCATCATGTCCTGTAATTTTTCCGACCACGCGCAAGGAGGCGCGAAGACCCAAATGGTCGAAGACAACTTCTATTTCCTACGCAAAGTGACTAAACTTCATATTGACGCCCTTTCCGCTGGTGGCGCTGAGGTAAAATACAATTCTCCCCTCATGTTGACGCTACAACTCATTGTGCAGAGGGAAATCCTGACGAGTCTTTCTTATTCTAGCGTGCGCTTCGTGGGCGACACCGCGAGTAAGGGTGACACAAGCTACCAAGACAGGTATACTGAGTTACTAATTCCAATAGTTGAGCGTCAATAAATGGTGTATTTGTTCAATCCATAAGCAGAATCCTGCATTTTGGTAGTTTGTATCATCAACCACGCATTGACGTTTCCTCGTTTTGTGATGAAACGTTTGCAAGTTAATTGCAAAACTCAGCGAACAGATCAACAGAAAATAAACGCAAATGAGCTACTAGTTCGGCAACTATGGAAGTTCAAACTGATTAGAAAAAATCTACGGTCTTGATTCAAACCCATGACCCCTGACATAAGAATCCTACCCATACAGTAGTATGTGCTGGAATTTCCTGCTGAGATCCCAAGACGCAATAGTCTGACCCAAATGGGCTCGCATGACCCAAAGGTGCAATGAGTAAGACACAGGAATCCGACTGATGCTGCTGCGTACAGTGGATTCGT